GTAGTAGTAGTAGTAGTAGTAGTGGTGGTGGGGGGGGTAGTAGGAGTGGGGGGAGGGGGGGGGGGAGGAGGAGGAGGAGGAGGAGGAGTCAGCTCTGGATCCAGAGATCAGAGAATTTCCTCACAGTGTCATCATCTAAATACCCCACACTGTCCCACCCCACAGGGGTATCTGTGACCCTCACCTGACCCCCCCCCCACCTGCAGAGGCGGAGTCACGTCATTACTTTTCACTTCTTCTCTTCTAGACAGGAAGTGACATCATGAGGTGCACCTTATATTAATACCTGTGTACTTTTACCTCAAAGATACTTCAACTGTGTATTACTGCAGCACCGAATCCTAAAGTACCTGTAGGAGAGCTGTACAAAAACCTGAGTAGTATTCAAAGTATTCAAAGTAAAGTACTATCCTGGAGAAAATGTGTACATTTCTGTTTGAAAAAAGTAGGAAGAAAGTACTGTGTGTACTGTAGTAGTACAATAGTTTCATCAATAGTAGTGTTTTTACCCCCCCCCCACACCCCTGACCATCAACAAATAAATCATCAAGTTACGGTGACTGTTACTACTGTTACTGCTGCTGTTACTGTTACTGCTGTTACTGCTGCTGTTACTGTTACTGTTACTGTTACTGCTGTTACTGCTGTTACTGTTACGGTGACTGTTACTGCTGTTACTGTTACGGTGACTGTTACTGCTGTTACTGCTGTTACTGTTACGGTGACTGTTACTGCTGTTACTGCTGCTGTTACTGTTACTGCTGTTACTGCTGTTACTGCTGCTGTTACTGTTACTGTTACTGCTGTTACTGCTGTTACTGCTGTTACTGTTACTTCTGTTACTGTTACTTATTTAGTTACACTCTTGGGTCGTGAACCCTCATTTGAGAAACACAACAGTAATGCTGGGATCCAGTAATAAATGGTTGAATTATGGTGGTTGTTGTACTGACTACTCTGTACTACTCTGTACTCTGTACTACTTCTATCTAAGTACTGTGTACTCCTACATCCTAGACTTTTTACTGATCGATTTATAGTATAATATTTTCATACTTAATTACTTTTTATTAAAAAAGACAACAATCTAAGTCCAGTCCTTTGGATCCACGGTTCAATAATTATTTATTTATTGTTGTTAATATTCTGTCGTGTCGTGGAATAAGACACACACACACACACACACACACACACACCCCGGTCAGACACTCACCACGCCGACCGTCAGCAGCTGAAGGGCAGCCAGTACCAGCAGCGTCCCCATGCTGTCAGTCCAGTCACATAGAAGTCCGCTCTCGGTCCAAACTGAGTTAAATCCTCCACACAGACACGAACACAATCCGATTTAATCCGATTTAATCCGATTCAATCTGGTGATTTCGTTCCAGTGTCCTCCATTATTTGTAAACTCTCATCGATCAACTTTTCAAGAGCGCTTTTTATATCAGACCCTGCGTCTGATGGAAGCCACGCCCACTCGAGCCTCCTCTGCCCAATCAGGATGCAGGCGCGTTTCCACGGCTCCCTGCAGTGACAGATGAGAGGGGCGTGGCTTTACCATCATTTTGGAGGCGTGGCCAAGCATGAAAGCAGTCATTCAGTCAAGAATGACTACATTCCACAGAGGAGCCGCTGAGGAGAGGTTATTTATTTATGTTTGGTGAAAATAATATTTTTGATGCTGCTGCTGCTGCTGCTGCTGCTGCAAAAAGTCAAATAAATAAGTCAGCGCTGCATTAATACTGGAGGAAAACAGCCAACAGCTGCTTAAGAAAAATACCTTTAAAAATTATATATATATGTACATATATATACAGTATATGTACATATATATGTACATATATATATATATACTGTATATATATGTACATATATATGTACATATATAT